TTTATTTTTCAACTCTAATGATTATATGACTAGGCATTGGTTGCAATGTAATTAGACTACTAAACAAGAAAAAGAAGATGCATTCTTAACATTGTATTCAACTCTTAAACAATGCAATGACCATATGAGCTTTATCCTAATTTCTGCATGTAGTCTTTCTGCATACGTCTTAGATGACTGGGTTTCTGTAAATCACTACTCTTCATTAAAGTTGGGCCAAAATGCAAATATAGCTCTATATGGATTGGGCTTATTTTGTAGATTGTGGGGCTTCTTGTACTTTACCTCCGCATTCCTCCATTTGCAAAGCGTTCCTGAAAAAAAGAAACCCAATCAATGCAGGAGTATAGTGTATAGAAATGTCTATTGCATTGACAGTGCCATTCTTATAAAGCAAAAACTGCATGAGTATGTCCCAGTCATGCACCTTTCTATCTAGCACCCATTCCCAACAAAAGCAAATTTCCGATATAAACGATGTGCTGCAATGTCAGATGTACACAACCAAGCAGCAAAAATTGAGGCTTGCTCAAATTTTAGCACATATCTAACATGAGGTTTGCAGGATGTGACCCCAGGTCACTTTAATTCAAGAGTTTAATTCATTTTTTCACAGGTTTTCTGTAAATTGTTGCAGTGGCTCACTTTCAAGGATTATATACCACACTGCACTTTTCTTTCTCAAATTAAAGAACTGATAGTAAAAATTCAGTGAGAGCCAAGAAGTATGGCATCTCAAGGAGACAAGTTGCTGATGACCCACCAGCAGAATATCAGCTCCTGCTGAATCAGGAATTCAGAGGGAGACAGGAGTTGAGTATTGCACTTCTCACAGCTCCACCTGAAATGCTGTAGCTTCAAGCCCTGGGGCATCCACAGTCAAACAGAGATAAATGATGCCTAGTTACGTGTAGACTATTTATTACACCATACTCCCAGCAGTGTTGTTAGAAAGCCTTATTCATTTTTAATACAGAAAAAAAAAAATATGCTCAACTATGCTTGTATTTTATTTTGCATTATTTTTCATGTGTATGAGAATAATGGCAGTGGCAAGTGAGATAATTGTGATTAATTTTGTGAGTTCTTTACTGGAATGAACAAGCTCTAGACTTCTCCATTTGTGTACAAGTCAGTGGAAGGTTTATTTAAAATACAAAAAACAAACCAAAGCAGGAATACACAGTAATTTGACTTGTAGCAGAAAAATCTGTGACACAGGTATCAACTGTAAAGGCTTTAGAATTGATAGTATCCTTATCAGAATTACTAGCTAACTTGTTAGTCTTGGTCTTTATTTTTTATTTTTTATTTTTTATTTTTCAGATATATGTGACTTATTTTCTTTAAATCTTTGTTGAGATTTAGAGCCAATACAGAGCTATATCCAACACAGCCATTCACTCCCTCCACAATAGGATGAGCAAAAGAACTGAAAAGGCAAATAAATTTGAAAAAAATGTATGGGTTGAGATAAAGAAAATTTACTAGGTAAAGCAAAAGACAAGCAAAACAAAACAAAACAAGGAATTAACTCACGACTTCTCGTCAGCAGACAGATATTCTGCCCTTTCCAGGAAAGCAGAATGGTTTACACATTCCAAGTAACATAATGGTTACTTGGAAAGACAGTGCCATAATGCCAGAACACACCTCTTTCTTCTCTTCTTCCTAATTTCATTGCTGCGCATGATGTCATATGGTATGGAATATAACTTTGGCCAGTCTGATTCAGCTGTCCTGGTTATGTCCTCTCGCAGCCACTTGGCACACCCCTAGCTCCTCACAAGTAGAGTAGTGTGAGAAGCAGGAAAGTCCTTGGCTCTGTGAAAGAACTGCTCAGCAACAACTAAAACATCAGCGTGTTATCAGTGTTTCATTACACATCCAAAACATAGTAGTATGGGGTAGCTAATATGAAGAAAATTAGCTCTAAAACCAGTGCATTCTTAAAGAACTGAAATGGAATTTACTTGTGTATAAGTAAAATCTAAAGATATTTGAGACAAAAGAAAGATCATACCTGTGTTTTTTTTTCCCCCACCATTGATATTATGTCTTCAATTTTCTAGAAATCTGGAGCTACTCTCAGTTTCAGTAGGATCTCAATTGAAGCTTTTAGTTAACTGTACACCTCTATCATGTTCTTTGTTGTACAGCAGTCCACTTCTGGTGTAATTCTGATTTATCCCTTTTTCTCATCTTACCTTCCATATGTCCTGTTCTAGTTTGGTTATTCTCATCTTAGAAAAAAAAAAAAAAACAAGTAATTACCTTTACATGTAAGCACAGTCAGGAATCATAGAATCATAGAATGGTTTGGATTGGAAGGGACCTTTAAGATCATCTAGTTCCAACCCCCTGCTATAGGCAGGGACACCTCCCTCTAGATGGGGTAGGTAAGAGCCCCATCCAGCCTGGCCCTGAATGCTTCTGGGGAGAGGGCATCCATAATCTCTCTGGGCAACCTGTTCCTCACCAATCTGAGTGTCTCCTCACCAATCACACAGTATAGAATTTCTTCCTGATACCTAGTCTAAATCTACCCTCTCCCATTTCCCTCAACCTGTCACTACCTGCCCTTATAAAAAGTCCCTCCACAGCTTTCCTGTAAGCCCCCTTCAGGTACTGGAAGGTAGAAAGGAAGTGTTAGGATGTCCTTGCAGAGTTCTAATTTATTCTTTTATGATTTAAAGTATATAAATACTTTCATTAAAAGCAGAGCTAGGCAAAGAGGATGCATGTTGATATCTTTGCCTTGTGCATTTCTGAAGAATGTAGTCAAGTTAAATATGCTTTAGTAAAACTCAATCTGCTAATTTAGACTACTAACTTAGTCGCTGCTTCATTAAAATTATAAGTGCCTGGAAAGGGAACTTATCCAGTTACAATACAATATGGAACTAACGGGGAGACGGGTTTGCCAGTAAAGACCTGCAGAGGAGGTTGATGACATGGTCTGAATTTGACATCTTTCTGTGTGTTGAATTTGGTGTCTTTGGGAGTATAGAATGCTCCCTTAAATTAATCAAAGCTGCAGGAAAAGCCAGGAGATTCTGCTCATTCATGACTTCTTCTAAAAACAAGAACATAACAAGCTAAAGGTAATCATAGCAGTACAGTGATGCACGTGTTAAAACTGTGTGCATAGGGACAGGGAGGTCAAAAGAAGAAACTTGGATGTAGTAAGTGGTTTGGGTACTATCACTGAAAGAAGTCCTTTTAGTCAAAGCTCTTTTCCATCTGTTATATTAGTTGACTAATGAGGAACAAAACCTTGGATGTAGGCATGCAGTGTCAATTTCTGCTGCTTGTGATTACACTTTGTTTTGTTATTTTGTGGTTTCAGGTAGGTGCAATTCTAGCATCCAATTCTGTGTAGGGTTGGAATAGCTATACTTACGGGCTATTTTGAGAGAGAATTTCATTTTGAGGAATTCCCTGGTTGGACAGCTATTAAAGCTTTTGGAGAGGAAAAGGCTGAGGATCAAGATAGGAGGAAACTAATGTAATTGTTGCAGTGCATATATTGTTGTTATCTTTAATTCCTTTCCCTGCACCTTTGTTTTTTTTGTTGTTGTTGTTGTTGTTTTGGTTTTTTTTCCCCCAAAATACACAACCTCCTTCTCTTTAATCTTTCCCAGGACTCCTATTGTCACTTTAAGAGGAGGGTTTTTCTGTGGTCAAGCCTTGAGTATGGAGTAGAGCTTGGAATACTGTGTCATCCTACTACTTAGACAATAGTGAAAAGGTATTAGGTCATGCTCTTTCTTGATACTGCCAGGGTTATTTTATTATATATATTCTCAGAATCAAGTCTGGATGTTGAATACTGATTTTTCTTCTGAGGAAATAAATTTAATTTTTAAACATTTTTCTGGGAAAATTGCCTTTTCTAAATGGCTGCACTTGATAATAGTAGGCCAGGCTTTTTAGAGAAAAATTCTAAATAATTACATATTGTACTTAATTTTTTTTTAGTGGGAAGTTGGGTCTGTACCTAAGTCAATGTTTTTACTCAGAGATACCTTTCGCAGAAACTTGTTCCATATTGCAGGGATATTATCAGGAGGCAGTGACATGTGTGTAACATTTTTCAGTTCTAGTGTTTATGAAATCATGAGTCCTGAAGGAGTATGCAAGTGTTTAGTAAGTTTCAAAAGTTTCAATCAGATTGAGTATATATTTAATCTTATTTGTGATATGCATTAAGGATGTGACTTTTAAAGAGCAGACTGTTTGATGTATATAATTACATAAAAATAGTGAGCATTTCCCATAACAAAATCTGCTGGGATTGCATTTGACATCAAACTATTTTGTATGATGTAATTAAAAGTTAAAAGTTTTGACAACATGAGAAACAAGCAGTAACTGAGTCTCCATCCATAAGTGTATCAAATATACATTTTAAGAGTAAGGTCATTTTTATGGGATCATTTGGGTCATTTCTTATGCTTCAACAGAAAAGTGACACACAGATACTGTTTTTGTTTTTTTTTTTTAAGAAGCAGTTAAAGAAGAGCAATTTACTCAGCTCAGTATACCATTTTCAGTAAGAGAAGCATGGTCTGTAAGGGTTAATTGTTTTGATGCACATCAATTAATTAATTAATGTTTGGACTATTAATTAAAGTGGGTGGAAGTTCAAAGAGGAGTCATGTAAATTTGAAGTGGAGGATTAACTACTTTTAAAATATAAATCTTTAAGAAGAGCATTAGAAAACTGGACTGTTGTTCCTTATTTATATCTTTACAAGATATATATGACTTTTATGTTAGTGTTTTCACAAAAAGAATTTGTATGGAAGAATAAAATCATGAAATAACTACTGGTAAGTCTTTTTAATTTCTTTTTTTTTTTTTTAGACTAGCACACTCTTTCAGTACCAGACAATGACAATAAACTTCATCTCTAATACTGTTTTCTGTCACAGCTTTGGATTAAAGATTTATTTTCAAATATCTATCAAAATTAATAAGCTTTTTAATGTTCACAGTTTATCAGGATGTCCCAGAGCTACTTCAGCAATGAAGAAAGCAAAGCTGTCTGGAGAACAAATGCTAACAATAAAGCAGCGGGCCAGTAATGGTAAATTTTTAATCATTACCTTTTAATACAATATTTCATTGGTAGCTAAAGTTGTCACTATGGGCTTTTTTTTCTGTGTGTGGAAACTTTCGTATAAACGGTGAATTCAAGGTCAGTAGATTTTAAACTGGGCTTTGTGCTGTGGAAATCTGAGCCAACAGTGGAGTGAGTCAGACTGGTCTGTTACACTCAAATAACTCTAAAATATTTCAAAGTAGAGTATACCATTGTAATTTTCTGGTTCTTTGATTCATATCTCATTCACCAAGGTAGATGGGTGACCTTATGTTGTTGCAGGATTTAAAGGAGGAAAAGAATTTATTTCCAGAGGTGTCAAGTCATAGAATCATAGAATCACAAGGTTGGAAATGACCTATAAGATCATCTAGTCCAACCGTCTTCACACACTGCTACCACAAGCTACTAAACCATACCTCACAGATCCTCATCCAGGCACCTCTTGAACACTGCCAGGGACGGTGACTCCATCACCTCCCTTGGCAGGCCATTCCAGTGCCTGACCACTCTCTGAGAGAAAAAAGTTCTTCCTCATGTCTAACCTAAACCTCCTCTGATACAACTTGCGGCCATTTCCCTGGGTCCTGTTTATTGCCTGGGAGAAGAGGCCAAACCCCTCTTCACCACAACCTCCCTTCAGGAAGTTGTAGAGTGAGATGAGGTCTCCCCTGAGCCTCCTTTTCTCCATACTAAACAAGTCCTTATGAGGTCCCTTGAATTCATTTGGAGTTGTGGTTCTGTAACCTCTCATGCCATTTCATCTCCAATGATCTGCAGTCTTTCCTGCGAAATTTGAGTTGCAGGAAAGATGATGCAAGTACCTTCAATGAAAGTGAAGATGCTACCCTAGTACCTGAAGTGCAAATAAAGCAAACTGTAGGGGCTTCAGATAGGTAATGCATAAATGTCTTGTCTGGGAGGTATCTAAGTCCTAATTTTTCTTGGAGAACTGACATAGTCACTTCATTTGTGACTGTCCATGCTTAATATAATGCCTTCTTAAATGCTGGCATCAAATGTATTTCAGAGCCAAAAAGCATTTATAGAAAAAGCTTTCTGAAGAGCCACTGCAACCCACATTGCCAGCACAGCTGGAGAATGTGTTGGTTCAGTTGCTAGTATCCAGGGAGGTAAAGGTCTGGGCGTAATTTTCTCTACAACATGACATATCCAGGAGAAAAGCCTTCTGGAATGGGATACAGACATTTGGGATGCTTACAGAGACATACAGCATTCTTCCTGTTGTAGTGAGGCATAGTGGGAAAAGATGTGTAAGAGCAAGCCAATGGGAACACAAACTCTCTAGCTTTAGGACTTAAGACTTTAGCAAAACCAGCTTTATTTCTTCCTAGGATTGTTATATGCTTTGCTATGATAATTAAATGAATAAATAAAACCTACAGAGTTTATTTATCTCTGAATTCTTAAAAGGTATAGGTACCAGTTCTTTAAATATTTAAGCCATAAAAACTAAAAAATCATTTCCATTTTGCAAATTGCACTGAATATCATTATATAACTCTCTTCTGAACCATGTAAATATCAAAAGCAACAGCAGAATTGTAATATATCCTAATGCATCAACAAAATTTTACTACTTTGAGAAATGATTTTGACAGCATTGTGCTATGAAAAAATTATCATGTTAAGATATTTTCTTTTCCTTCATAAGATCTATGAATTAGGATAGTCCTTCAAATAAGTTAAATAAGACTGCAGAGCAGAATTTGTTGTTACAGGTGCATTTCTTTTAATACAGTGTTAAAATCAGTATGTATAAAAAGAAAGTTGTGACTTACTGATTCTCCAGGCATTTTCATAACACATGCTGGAAAATTATTGCTGATTTAAAAGCTGTGGAAAATATGTTTAACATTTTAACTTCAGAACACAAGTTTGAAGAGCATTTCCTCTCTATTTTTTTTTTCTCTAAAACTTTTACTTGAAGTAAATTGTATTTCAAATATGGAAGTAATTAATTTGCTGAACTCTGATTTAAAGCTTTGGTATTTTAATACATCTTTTATTTTTATATCGCATAGGTATAGAAAATGATGAAGAAATTAAACAGTTAGATGAAGAAATCAAAGAACTAAATGAATCCAACTCCCAGATGGAAGCTGACATGATTAAACTCAGAACTCAGGTAACAGTTTTATGAAGCCCTAAATTCAGCTGCTTTTCCTACATGACTGATTAAAAGAAATATGGAAAATATATTGTAGTCTTTCATATTCCTCACATACCAATATGTGAGCCATTTATAAAATCAGAAAACAATATTATGAATGCAATTTCCACATCAATTACCACCATTAAAAAAAAAGAGCCCTAGTTAATTATACTTTCAAAAACAATGACAAAAGCATGACCTGTCAGCTTTGTATTTCCCCTTGATAAAGCTACACATACATTTCTAATAGTAGTTAAATTATTAGGTTAGATCATAGTCATTAGCATAAGTCAGAAGGTGAAGGAGCCTAAATGAACAATGTGGCTTTTTTCAGGTTTGTTTTACAAAGGAAATTTAGATATGGAAAGGAGTACCTATTACACTTCATTATGTAGAGCAGCTCTTGGCAGTAAGAGTGTTTTCACAGATCCAGCTTAGTTCCTTTTAGGTTCCCTATAGATCTGTTGAAAACATGGGAAAACTGATGTTAAAACCTCACTTTATTGTCACTTTTCAGTCCTAATGCTGGATGGAAAAGGCAAAGGAAGGAAATAAATTGAATTCCTTCCCTGACATTTTCCACAGTCCAGCATAATTTTTGGTGCTGTTTTATTCCCATGGTTTGAGTACAGAAGCTACAGAGAGCTTTACTTCCATTCCCAGTATTTTTCAGCCTTTAGTCCCGTGATGGTAATCATTAAAGGCACACTGATCCTACGTATTGGAAGTAGAGATGGCTGTTCCTTGCTACTTCTTTGCTTATTGCTTGTAGAGAAGTATGCGGTGTCCATTGTCCTCCTCTTGTATACTCAAAAATAGAGAAAGGATGTGGCCTTTCAGAGTGTTTTTGTTTGACTTCCAAATGATAGTAGAATTGATATTGAAACCTCATTTCATTTTTATTCAGGGTTCTCTGTCATTATTTGATCATGATAGGATTTTACGGATGTTTTACGATTTTCTAACGTGATCAAGTATAACTGTAGGGAAATGATGACAAAATGCAAGAATGTAAAGCAAGAAGACTACTTAGTGGCAGGAAATCTATAAATACAACATTGGCAGAATTTGTAGTGAGTTTTGAAACTGGAAGGTTCTAAGCTGCCTTTTCTTTTCTTTTACTTCAGCCTTCATATGAGGCTTCAGTTAAGAATTATGACACTCTCCTGAAAACAAGCAATCTACATTTCCAACACAATTACATCACAGGCACTGTCAATCTATTAAGATCATATCCAAGTCAACAATTCCCTCTTTTTAGAACACTAAAATCATATTAAGCATGGCAAAATATTTACTGATAAATCTTTAGAAAATCATATAGATATCAATAAAACTTCACACAAGTATATACAATGAGAAAATAGTGTTAATTTTGTGAACACCATAACTAGCAAAAGTCATATTTCTTGAGGTCTTGAATACTGTATGATTTTAAGTGCCAGTGAAAGTTTTTTCTACAACAAGGACTTCTCTTCCACATAGAATCTTTCATATTTAAAAGTGGGAAGTTGTACTACAGACTTTATCTCATTTGGGACACTGATAACACTTTCCTATACCAGCTGCATTTTTGCACAAGACTTGGAAGAAAACATTTTTAATTTAAGATCGTCTAGTAAATTTGTTTGATTTTAACTTGCAGCTCCAAAAGTATGAGAGGAGTAGAAACACATGAACATAAGATAGAAAAAGAAAAATCTGCAAGTAATTAATTTTCAAATAGTCAGCATCTCACATGACACAGCCCAAGGGAAAAAAAATCTATTTAGGTGCCAATATTCAATTATAATTTTTGCTCAGGCAAAACCCTTTTTAGTTTCAATAATAGATATTTTTCTCCTTTCTCTGCTATTTCTATTATTACTCCCTTTGAAGAGCAAATGCTTTATAACAGCTTGCCTTATATTACATTGTACACAAATTTGTCCATTTTAGATTACCACAATGGAGAGCAACCTGAAGACGATAGAAGAGGAGAACAAAGTAATTGAACAGCAAAATGAGTCTCTTCTTCATGAATTGGCCAATTTAAGCCAGTCTTTAATTCATAGTCTAGCTAATATCCAGCTGCCACATATGGTAAGTGATTGAGAGCACAAGTTAAGGAATTTGGCGATCTTCAGTTCACTTCATACAATAGATGTCTTTTTTATGTTTACGTTTCATCAACCAGTTGGATATTTGTGGTAACAGCACTGAAACCATAAAGATACATTTAACTGCTAACAAAGACATGGAGGGCCTGTTCCGGTGTATCCTGTAAAAAAATTAAGTAAGAACTAAATAGGCATTTTAAATATTATAAAAAATGGTGGCAGTTATGCCTTGATAATATGTTATGCTTAAATGAATATACAATTAAGAAAATAAAAGTTGTATATGAACTACTATTTAATATCTCGTAGGAACCAATCAATGAACAAAATTTTGATGCTTACGTGACCACTTTGACGGACATGTATACAAATCAAGATCGTTATCAGAGTCCAGAAAATAAAGCCCTACTGGAAAATATAAAGCAGGCTGTGAGAGGAATTCAGGTCTGAACAGCTGCTATAGTGGTGAAAGTCTTGCTTAAAAAAAGGATGCCTCTTGTTTTTTGCTGCTGTAATTTACCAGAAAGTGTTATATATTTATTTCTGTTTGAAACAGTGTTATGCTTACAAGACTTCATAATGATTTTATGTCTTGCTTTAAAGATAGTAACTGCAGAATAGTTTTTTGAATACATTCACATTTTGTACGTTTTCATATAAGCTGACATAGTGTGATATGCCATGTAATGTTTATAGCTGCTAATGTATGCACATTTTTGGGGTATATATATTTCTGAAGAGGTAAGCTGATCAAAATAAATAGAGTGTAAATTCTTTTTAATGCTTTAGTGATTAAATGTTTTAGTATTTTGAACTGAAATGGACAAAAAAAAAAAACAGCTTTGAATGACAATGTTGCGGTCTGCAGCCACTTTTTAAACACTATCATTTTGCCTCATGTTGGAGGATTTTATGGGATTTAAGAAATACATTTTGTGTGCATATTGTTTCATAGCAAGAATTGGTTGCAAAAATGCTTTATTTTTGAACAATGCTTGAAAATATTATGTGACTTTTGTTTTTGGAGGATGGTGTGTGGTGGGGGCAATAAAATGAGGTTTTTTGAATTCCAAGAAAATGGCATGGATTAGATGTAAGATACAAAATGGGTAATTTATTGTAAGACAACATCAAGCCATGGAAACTTGACAGAAGATTCAAAGCAGCTTAAACAGCACTTTTTAATTAACTTCTAAGCATTACATGGTATGAATATGGGAACTTCCATTATGAAAAGAACTATATCAGAGGTGGACAACGTGAAGATTTCAGCTTTTATTTTCAAATAAACTTTGGAGCCAACATTCTCTTACCTCTGCTGGACTGCTAGTGCCCCTCTGAATTATCTGTTATAGCAATGTAGTTCATCTTTCAGAAATTCTGTATTTCCAATTCAAGATGGAGGACAATATTTTAAAATTAATATTGCCTTTTAACATCTTTAGTTTTGGGATAAACACAAATGATCTGCTTCTGTTAATGTTACTGAACTGCATTCACTGCTCTCTATAGTGGGAATGCAGTTCAGTAAAGACTTTTCTTTTTGTTTGGCCAAGCATTTGATCCCATTTTTAATATTTCAACATTTATGTTTTGCTTTTAGTTGGAGAACAATCATTACTGCAGCATTCACACATGCTTTGTATTTGTTCTATTACCTATTGCAAAAATGAATGCAATCAAATTTTTAATGTAACTAAATATACTTCGGCACTTTTTTTTTTTTGCTTTAAACTGGATCATTTTAAGATAAACCTTATTTGTATCTTCAAGATTTGATTGTTTTCTTCAAAATGACTGCACTATATGTATGCATAAGACCACTTTTTATTACTACATTTTTCTTTTTTTAAGTAGTAAATTTGGTGATGTGTTGTGTTTTACGGATGTTGAATTTATTTAAATTTGATAGCATATCTTTTTCCTTCCATGTCTTGATGTTATGCAGAAAGTACAAAAGTACTTTAAAATTTTGTTATGAAAAAGATGGATTTTGTAAAAAATAAAAATATTTTTAGCAGAACAGGACTTACAGGGTCATTGTCCCCACAATGTGCCAGTTGACTATTTGCACTTACCTTGCCCTATATATCCATACGGAGGTGTGCAATTTCTTGTGTCATTAGCCTTGTGACACTAAACTAGAACAAATTATAGTGGAAGCCATTATGGCCAATCCAGTAATATTGCTAAGGGAGACTACAGGGATCTCACAACAAATATTCTGATACAATACTCAACCTCGGTATATATATATATGTATAAATATATGTATATCCCAGCGGCACTTTATACTATTCACTGTACAAAAGCTTACAGTTTTCCACGAGGACTTTAATAACTAGCTGGGAAAAGATTATGTAATTACTTTGGGGCTCTGCAGTATCTTATCTGTACAGTGCCCTTTTTCTGTTGTGCTATTAGTTGTAGCTGCCATGCTCAGAATTGCCTTTTTGAGAGCTGAAGCAAGGTGCTTGTTGTTCACCTTCTGCCATATATATTGTACTTTTGCCCTAGCCTCCTTTTAGGGCTTTCATTGTTCATAATGGCATATGCATTTTTCCACTGCATTGTGTCTGCAGCTTCTTTGCCAGTATAGTAATGCTTTCAGTAGAGTAATAGATAGTATCAGTTTTGGATTCTTATTGTTATCACCTATGTACAATGGAAAGGGATTTTAAGCACAAATCTGCTGCTCATCTAATGTTGGTACATAATATCAAATCAAAAGTTATCTGTGACTATTATATAGGGATCACAAAAGTGTCACATATTAGAATGCTGACCTTTCATATGAAATTATTGTGAGTCATCAGAGTTTATTTATTATAACTTATTGTTCATATTCATTTCTAAGTTAATTTAAGTAATCATTTATTAAGACAGAATTTTGTATAAACTATTTATTGTGCTCTCTGTGGAACTGAAGTTTGATTTATTTTTGTACTACACGGCATGGATTTGTTGACATTTTAATTTTGCTATAAATGTGTGGAATCACAAGTTGCTGTGAGACTTCATTTTTAAATTGTGAACTTTGTACAAATTTTGTCATGCTGGATGTTAACACATCTTACTCTAAATAAATAAAAAAATGTGTTGCCACATTTGTAGCACAGTGGTTCTATGATCAGTTTCAGAATTTCACTTTATTTATCACATGGCATCTACAAAGATATCCTTATAGACGATTTTTAATAAGTAGCCGTGTTGTCTGATTCCTCAAGCTCTTCAGGCAGGGTATGACTGCCTCTTTGAATTATGTACCAAGGAGAAGTTTATTCTAACATTTCAGAATATCCTAGACAGAAATTTCACAGTGTTCCCCTGGCCTGATAAGGGTAATGGAAGGAGTTTAAAATGAAGTACACTGATAATTAGGTCCTCAGACTCAAAAACAATGAATTGAACATTAACTTCAGACGGGATGATTTTCAATTTCTTTTGACCTGCAGTAAGACTTTTCAAAGCAGAGCTTTTATAGCCTGTCCACAGAAGAGGCGAACGACAACGATCAGTTGACGCTTTTGGTAGGCGCTGCTTGTGGCAGGAAGAGTGACCTTCAGTAACTGCTGTCATGTTCAACATTAACTGTGATCTGCACCACAACGTAACCAGTGTTATGACTGCAAAGTGCTAAAAACTGGTTTCAATTTCATTATCACTTTTAAACAATCTAATTAAAATATCTTCCTGGGAAACAAACAAAAGTAATTACACAGGAGATTAGCAATTAATTGATTTATAAGCTCAATTATGACTTCACCATATGCTTAGTTCATGTATTGCATGCATATTATGTCCAGCGTTATGCAGTGTTATCAGTAACTAATTCTGCATGCCATTCTTCCTAATTGAATTCCTTTGAGATCATCGTAAGTGACCAATATAGGAGCTGCCATAAAAATCCTCAGCTGTCTTTGTCTCTAGCAAATGCTGGTTGGCTGAGGGAAGGGAGTGAATACAAAGGGTCCAGGACAACTGGCAGAATAGAATGCAAAATAAAAAAGATAAAATCATGTCTGCCAACTGAGGACATCGCAGCAAGGAGTGCGTGAACTTGTTATACACAATGCAATATATTTATATTTTTGTGTATGTAAGACAGGAAAAGCTCATCTTATTTTTTAGCAGCACATAAAAATTTATTATTAATCATGATCTCCCAGATCTCTTCTGTTTCTTGTTATGCTTACATAGATGAAGTAATAGCAAGTTTTTCACATTAGATCTTGATTTTGTCATCTTCTTGTGAGACTTTTTCTGAAAGAAACAACAAAATGGAAAAGTTAGAAAAAAGGGACAGACTACAAGAGGTGAACATGTGGAAGAAGTGAACATCTTTTAGAGGACAACTATAATCTTTTTCTAGTGATCTCTATCAAACAGTAATTTAAGACATGGCCTAAAAAGGCATGTAGAAGACTAATGCTCTGCTTCATGATAGGTTGTTTTGTTGGTATCAGAATTATGCTAAAGAAAATTAGCCGAACAGGCCATGGAATAAAGAAAGTTGAAGAAATTCTGAGAAACATTGAACACAAAGAAACTTCTAGATGCACAAAGGAACTTTTACATGTCATTCAAACACAGTGCATATTTTTTTTTTTTTTTATCACCAGAGGTGCTAAAATCATTTCACTGCATTATTTCACCAAATTAAATAATAAGAAATGGAACAGAGTTGGCAGGCAATTCTCAAAATTTTGGAGACCCAGAATAGCCAAAATTCAGCTTTTGGAGAAAGATGGGTTTAGCAGAAATGCTAAGTCATGGCCTGAACCAGTGATGGAGCACCTGGTGAGAAGGCAGGGCCAACCTAGGCAGTGCACCTGAGTGACCAGAAGGGGGTAGGTCCTGGTTCCACCCCTTGTCAGACCTCACTTAAGGGTTGGCAATGGAGTTAAGGATATTTTGCTGGAGATCCCTACCAACCTGAGGCCTTCTATAGGTAAGCATAGTCTTTGTTTCTGTATTTATAATAGCTGCTGTTTTTGAGCACATTCTTTCTTGCTGCAGCCTAAGACTTTGCTACTATGCTGTCATTGCCATGCTTTCCATTGCATTTCAGTGTTACACTGGGCAACAGTCAAATATGTTAGTACCCTAGACCTATGTCTAGTGCCCCCGTTCTTATGGAATGAAATTATGGACATAAAGCCTAAAGTTCAAGGACAAAAGGCTTAAATATGGCAATATTCTTTCATGGGAAGAAGACAAATCATTATATATCAAAATAAACATGTACTTAGCTATTCTTTTAAGCCTGAGATTTTGTTACCTCATCTCTAGTAAAATGGATCACAGTAACCAGAAAGCAAGAATGCCCAATGAGACCTAATTCACTGTATCAATGGGCTTGTACAATGGGGCGTAATGTTCTCTACATTAGTAGTCAACTGATCAGTGGTAGCTGAAGTAGTTAATATCCACTTCCAATTTCTGTTTCCTTCAAGTGTTAGTATTTCTACTGAGAAATCTCTTGCCAAAAGACATAAGCCAACTCATCTACTCTCACAAGACTATCTTCCCATTGTTGTGAACAGCAGGCCCTTCATTGTGCCTGTGGACATAATCCTCCTTGAACTTTCTTAAACTTAATTCTTCTTGACCCTACTGTGACCAGTATACCAAGAAAAGCTTTCATACGTATCACTAAATCCCTCTGTTGTTATTGCCACCCAAACCCTCCCAAACCCTTGTTACATCCTCACACTTTATTTTCAGTTTTTCTTGCCTGCTCAATAATGACTCTTAGATCTGTAATCAACTGTTACATTTTAATTAGGTTTCAGAACATAGCAAACATTTTCTATTTGCCCTAAGCAATGTAAGCCATCTCCTTTTTATTTAATCCTTCCTGTGATTAAGTTCTTCATGTACATCAAGTTAGTGCTGATTAATCTTTCCTCTTTTGGTCATTTGTTTTTTATTGAAGATTATTAATCAGATTATTTGCCACAGCAATACCAAATATGGGGGGGGGGGGGGGGGGGGGGGGGGGAAGATGGCAGAAACTACATTCACAAATAACTCTGAGCCCTTTTTGTCACTCGTATATGGCAAGATGGTTCACTTCATTGATAAAGGGAGAGTTTATGTGTAATGGAGCACATGCAGTCAGTTCATCGTTTAACACTTTTGGGGAGGAAATCAAATCCAATTCTGGAGCAAGAGTTTGCATTGAAGGCATCTTTTTTCAGTGGAGGCATTGATCTCAAACAGAACATTTAACCCTGATAAAAGCATGCTTGTTTGTTATTGTTTTTTTGTTTTTAATCTACCTCTCATTGACTGTTAGGAATAACTTGTGGATTCCCTGTGGTTCACTCTC